ACTGCTAGGGTGACAGTATGTAAAAAAAAATAATAATAATAATAATATAAAAAAATAAAAATGTAAAAAAAATGTTTAAAAATTATAATTTTTGGTTTTAAACTAATTTGGGTTATTTTTTTTTTTTACTAAAAAGATAACGGAATAAATTTTGGCCAAGATTTATGATGAAATATTATTTATTTGCAAAATTTTATAAGAAAAACACTTTTTTTCAAAATTTTTGGACTTTTTTATTTATAGCAAAAAAAAAATAAAAATCCCAGCGGTGAATAAATACCACCAAAATAAAGCTTTATCTGTCTCAAACAAATGCTAAAAAATTCATATGGGTACAGTGTTGCATGACCGCGCAATTGTTATTCAAAGTGTGAAAGCGCTAAAAGCTGAAAACTGTTCTGGACAGGAAGGGGGTGAAAGTGTCCGGACTGGAAGTGGTTCAACTATTCCTTCTAATTCTATCCAATCAGACAGGCCCTCATATTACATACAGAAAGGGAGGTGTCACACAGAATTCTTATATTTCTTATTGCTTTGAAACTTTCACAGCAGGTCTCCCCAATCCTTCTAAACCAGGGGTGGGCAACTGTGGCCCTCCAGCTGTTGTAGAACTACAAGTCCCATGAGGCACTGCAAAACTGACAGTTACAAGCAAGACTCCCAAAGGCAGAGGCATGATGGGACTTGTAGTTCACCAACAGCTGGAGGGCCACAGTTGCCCACCCCTGTTCTAAACAGAGGGCCAGTTTGCTGTCCTTCAGACTTTAGGGGAGCCGGATTGTGGCCAGTGTGAGTAAAGGTCAGTGGGGAAAAACAATGCCCTATTTTTGGTGTGAGTAGGAGGAAAAGTGCCCCATTGGTGCTCTCAGTGGGAGGAATTGTAGCCAATCGTTGGTATCAATGGAAGAAATAGTGCTCCATCTTTGGTGTCAGTGAGAGGAACTGTGTCCCATCGTTGGTGTCAGTGGGAGGAATAGTGCCCCATCACTGGTGTCAATGGGAGGAATTGTAGCTCATTGTTGGTGTCACTGGGAGGAATTGTGTCCCATTATTGATGTCAGTAGGAGGAATTTTAGCCCATCGTTGGTGTCAGTGGGAGGAACAGTGCCCCATCTTAGGTGTCAGTGGGAGGAACTGGGCCCCATTGTTGGTGTCAGTGGGAGGAAAAGCAGCCCATTGTTGGTGTCAGTTGGAGGAATTGTGCTGCATCATTGGTGTCAATGGGAGGAATTGTAGCTCATTGTTGGTGTCAGTGGGAGGAATTGTGTCCCATCATTGATGTCAGTGGGAGGAATTTTAGCCCATCATTGGTGTCAGTGGGAGGAACAGTGCCCCATCTTAGGTGTCAGTGGGAGGAATTGTAGCCCATTGTTGGTATCAGTGGAAGGAATAGTGCCCCATCTTTGGTGTCAGTGGGAAGAATTGTAGCCCATAGTTACTATCAGTGGGAGGAATAGTGCCTCATCATTGGTATCAGTGGGAGGAATAGTGCCCCATCGTTGGTGTCACTGGGAGGAATAGTGCCCCATCGTTGGTATCAGTGGAAGGAATAATTCTCCATCGTTGGTGTCAGTGGTGGGAATAGTGCCTCATAGTTGGTATCAGTGGAAGGAATAGTTCTCCATCGTTGGTGTCAGTGGGGGAAATAGTGCCTCATAGTTGGTATCAGTGGAAGGAATAGTTACCCATTGTTATTATCAGTGGGAGGAATAGTTCCCCATCGTTGGTGTCAGTGGGGGGGGAATTGTACCCCATCCTTGGTGTCATTGGGAGGAATTGTGCCCCTTCATTAGTGTCAGTGGGGTGAACTATGTCCCATTGTTGGTGTCAGTGGATGAAATAATACCCCAAGAGCCAGATAAAAGCAAGCAAACTTCTGCATCTGGCCACTGGGCCGCAGTTTGGAGAGCACAGTTTTAGGCATTGAGGATATATTCACTTTAACAGTTACATGTTTGCAAAAGCATAACCATTTTTTAAAAGCCTACATTTAAGTGACCATACAACCACAAAAAAAGTAACTCCGTGACACCAGAGTTCCAGTATTAGAGCTCCCCTTTAACTCTTTTACGGCCAGAGCAGTTTTTCTTTAAAGGAAGGTTTCAAAAATCATTTTATGCCTGAAGATGAGTTAAAACCCCAAACATTATGGATTTTCTGAAAGCAGACACCCGGGGAGAATAAAATAGTGGTAGTTCCAATTTTCTATGTCATACGAGATTTGTGCAACGGTTTATCAAGTGTAAATTTTCAGTAAAGAGTACATAAAGTTAATTTTAGAGCACGTAAACACAAAATATTACAGATTTTTTTTTGTAAAGCATAAAAGAAGAGGTTGTGCCGAGTAAATAGATACCAAACATGTCAAGGCTTAGAATTGCATGCGCCTGTACAACGACAATCTTTGGTATCCTATACTTTCCATAGGCGATGCTTTAAAAGCCCCGACAGGTCATCACTTTAGAGCTAACTGTGAATATTGGGACTAGAATTATTGCTCCCACTTTAGCATGTGTGATGATGTGTAACGTGTAGTGCAGGGGTCTCCAAACCTTCTAAATAAAGGGCCAGTTTACTGTCCCTCCGACTTTAGGGGGGGTGGATTGTGGTCATTGGAAGTAGAGAAGGTCCTGTGTCAGTGGGAATAAACCATGACCCTTCTTTGGTGTCAGTGGGAGGAATGATGCCCCATTGTTGGATTCACTGGGAGGAAATGTGCCCCATCATTGGTGTTATTGGGCCCATTGTTGGTGTCATTGGGAGGAATTGTGCCCCATTGTTGGTGTCATTGAAGGAATTGTGCCCCATTGTTGGTGTCATTGGAAGGAATTGTGCCCCATTGTTGGTATCATTGGGAGGAATTGTACTCCATTGTTGATGTCATCAGGAGGAATTGTACTCCATTGTTGGTGTCATTGGGAGGAATTGAGCCCCATTGTTGGTATCATTGGGAGGAGTTGTGCCCCATTGTTGGCTGTGGATGAAATAGCGCCCCAAGGGCCAGTTAAAAGCAAGCAAAGGGCCACATCCTGCCTCTGGGCCACAGTTTGGAGGTCACTGTTATAGTGCAATCAACGTTTTCATTTGTAGGCGCCCCAATGCTTACATTTATGTTTGTCTGTATGTGGGGGTGGGAGAGTCCGATTTTTTTTTTGGGGGGGGGTTTAAGTACTTGGGTGTAATTACACTTTTTTTACTAAACTATTTTTTCCATTACATAGGGGAAAAAATGTCCCCTATGTGATTTTTATTTTGGTGACAGGTTCTCTTTAATGAGACATCGGATCATCCGGATCATCACATTGTTCCACAGCCATACTGTCTGGGGGAAAGTGACACCAGAATTAGCAGGAAGGGGTGATCAGCGAATGGACGTTCACTGATCTCCCTTACCTCTACCCAAAGGCACACACCATGCTGGTCCCGGGTCTGCAGATGGGCATGCAGAACTCACTAAACATGGCAGGGGCATATGGTGGTGGGGAAACTGGGAGTTACAGGATGCCTATGCACTGATGGAACCTAAGGACTGTACTGACGGAGTCTAAGGACTGCACTGATGGAGCCTAAGGACTGTACTGACGGAGTCTAAGGACTGCACTGATGGAGCCTAAGGACTGTACTGACGGAGTCTAAGGACTGCACTGATGGAGCCTAAGGACTGTACTGATGGAGCCTAAGGACTGTACTGATGGACCTTTGGACTGTACTGATGGAGCCTAAGGACTGCACTGATGGAGCCTAAGGACTGCACTGATGGAGCCTAAGGACTGCACTGATGGAGCCTAAGGACTGCACTGATGGAGCCTAAGCACTGCACTGATGGAGCCTAAGGACTGTGCTGATGGAGTCTAAGGACTGCACTGACGGAGTCTAAGGACTGCACTGATGGAGCCGAAGGACTGCACTGATGGAACCTAAGGACTGTACTGATGGAGCCTAATGACTGTACTGATGGAGTCTAAAGACTGCACTGATGGAGCCTAAGGACTGTACTGATGGAGTCTAAGGACTGTACTGACGGAGCCTAAGGACTGTACTGATGGAGCCTAAGGACTGTACTGATGGAGTCTAAGGACTGCACTGATGGAGCCTAAGGACTGTACTGATGGAGCCTAAGGACTGCAGTGATGGAGTCTAAGGACTGCACTGATGGAGCCTAAGGACTGTACTGATGGAGCCTAAGGACTGCACTGATGGAGCCTAAGGACTGTACTGATGGAGTCTAAGCACTGCACTGATGGAGCCTAAGGACTGTACTGATGGAGCCTAAGGACTGCACTGATGGAGCCTAAGGACTGTACTGATGGAGTCTAAGGACTACACTGATGGAGTCTAAGGACTGTACTGATGTACCTTAGGACTGTACTGATGGAGCCTAAGCACTGCACTGATGGAGCCTAAGGACTGCACCGATGGAGCCTAAGCACTGCACTGATGGAGCTTAAGGACTGCACTGATGGAGCCTAAGCACTGTACTGATGGAGCCTAAGCACTGCAATGATCTCCGGAGCCTAAGGACTGCACTGATGGAGTCTAAGGACTGCACTGATGGAGCCTAAGGACTGCACTGATGGAGCCTAAGCACTGCACTGATGGAGCCTAAGGACTGCACTGATGGAGCCTAAGGACTGTACTGATGGACCTTAGGACTGTACTGATGGAGCCTAAGGACTGTACTGATCTCCGGAGCCTAAGGACTGCACTGATGGAGCATAAGGACTGCACTGATGGAGCCTAAGGACTGTACTGATGGAGCCTGAGGACTGTACTGATGCAATACGCCTTCAATGTAAGAAAGTATTAAGTTCTCCGTGATCATAAGATCCTTCAGTATTTATCACTTTTTTTGTTGCAAATGATGGACTGAGCCTTGAATGTGATGTATGTAGAAGTGACATGTTCATTCCGTGGGCGGGGAGCCATGACCAGGGAATGTATTCAGACAAATCACATGGAAATAGATGTGTGCTGAGAATAGCAGCCAGCGCTGGACTCACCTCATTCCAGATGGGGTTCGGATTGTTTTTGATGACTTTGGTTCTCTTCTTTACACCTAGATAATGACAGACAACAGACATTAGAGGAACAGTCGCTGCATCTGACATAAAGGGGTTTATTTACTAAAGCTGGAGAGTCCAAAATCAGACTCCCTTCTGCATAGAAACCAATCAGCTTCTAACCTCAGCTTGTTCAATGAAGCTTTGGCAATGAAACCTGGAAGCTGATTGGTTTCTATGCAGAAGGGAGTCTGATTTTGGACTCTCCAGCTTTAGTAAATAAACCCCAAAGATTCAGCAAATCCTAGGATTCTTCATGTAGAGAGGTACATCGTAATCGCACAGCTGCCTGCCAGGTACATGAAGTCCTCAGGGAATGAGAGTCTGAAGATTTCCCATAATTCTCTGCATCATTCATAATATGCCCTGGTTCACACTGATGCAAATTTTCATGTGATTTGACTGTTCAAATCGCATCCAATGATTGGTAATGGAACTGTTCTAACTTTGTTGGAGTCGTACCGATTAGAACAGCAGTTCCTGCACTACTTTTTGCGATTTGGGGTGCGACCTGCATAGATATTTATGACATCGCACAGATGTCTATGAAGTCGCACCCAAAGTCGCACTGCCAACCAACCACTGAAATTGTGCAACTTCAAATGATGTCGCACAATTTCAAATTCAGATCCGGTGTGAACCAGGGCTTACTGTACTCCCCACGTGGAATCTCTTAAATCACATTCAGCCCGGGTTCACACTCATGCGGTGCGGAATTTGCAGCGTTTTCTGTGCAAATTCTGCACCGCATCACAATCGCACCTCGTTCATACTGGTGCGTATGTTAACAACACCCCGAAAGCGGTCTGAAAAACGCGGTGCAATGTGCAGAATCGGATCGTATAGGTGTGAATACCCATGCGATCCGATTCTAGTGCGGACCAAAAAAAGGGTCCTGCAGCTTTTTGGTGCGGGTGCGATTTGTGCCATACAGAATGTACGACTCCGATCGCACCGCACACAAATCGCATATGATTTGCACAGGAATGTGATGCAGCCCCAATCCTACTCCTCTTGGGTCCTCCTGGTTCCCCCCTCACCGAGTCCCCCTCATAGCAAGCCACTTGCTATTGGGGTTCTCATGTGACCTTGCTCTCAAGCTAGTTCTGTGTATAGAGAGCAGCTTGGCCCCTCCCCCAGTTCCCTCCTCCGTGGCTGTGATTGACAACAACAGGAACCAATGGCTTCCTGTACGAATCACATGCAATATACCGCAACGCACATATATGACCCCGGGCTCAGATGTTCAGGTTCAATAAATATGGCGGTGATCAGACTGGAAAGAAATGCCTTTTTCCAATGCAGCCCTAAACATTATCAAATACACTTTATTAGGCTCCTCCCACACTGAAAGGGTTAAATGGTCATTTTTGTCTATAATACTCGAGTCCCAATTTGTTTTCTTTTCTTTGAGTGATGTCTCGGTTCTACAATTATGTCTTAGTCTTTTAGGTTTTGTACAGCAACCTGCTGCCTATCCCCCCACCTGCCATGATCTGCCTACACTGCATAGAGAAGCACAGAGAATCAATGGTTTTGCACAGAGCAGCCCCAATCCTCCTCCTCTTGGGTCCTCCGCCAGTGCTCCTGGTTCCCCCTCCACCCCACCGAGTCCCCCCCATTGCAAGCCACTTGCTATGGGGGTTCTCGTGTGACCTTGCTCTCAAGCTAGCTCTGTGTGTCCATAAGACACATAGAGCGCAGCTTGGCCCCGCCCCCAGTTCCCTCCTCCGTGGCTGTGATTGACAACAGCAGGAATCAATGGCTTCCAGTACTGTCTCTGAGCCAATGAGCAGGGAGAGAGCCAGGAGAGCCTCTGCTCTCCTATAAGGGAGCTGGAAGGGAGCTGCTTGCAGAAGGTTTTCAACCTGAATGCAGAGAATTTATGAAGTGGTTCTATAGGCTGAAGGTTTTTTACCTTTATGCATTCAATGGTAAAAAGACTTCAGTGTGCAGCTCCCCCCAGCCCCCCTAATACTTACCAGAGCCCGATCTCGATCCAGCGATGTGCATGAGAGCAGATGCTCTCCCGACTCTCTCCCTCCTCATTGGTTCAGGGACAGTACTGGGAGCCATTGGTTCCTGCTACTGTCAATCACACCCAGGGAGGAGGGAACTGGGGGCGGGGCCAAGCTGCGCTCTATGTGTCTTATGGACACACAGAGCTGACTTGGGAGCAAGGTTCCACAAGAACCCCCATAGCAAGTGGGGGGGACTAGGTGGGGAACCAGGAGCACCAACTTACCCAAGCCAACTATGTGCACAAGAGTAGTGGCTCTCCCAGGTCTCTCCATCCTCATAGGCTGAGACACAGCAGTGGATGCCATTGGCTCCTGCTGTTGGTAATCTATGTGTCTTAAGGACCTTGGGAGCAAGTTCACACGAGAACCCTCACAGCAAGTGGCTTACTATGGGAGGGGGGGGCACTAGGTGGGGAACCAGGAGCACCAACTTACCCAAGCCAACTATGTGCATGAGAGTAGTGGCTCTCCCAGGTCTCTCCATCCTCATAGGCTGAGACACAGCAGTGGATGCCATTGGCTCCTGCTGTTGGTAGTCTATGTGTCTTAAGGACACACAGAGCTGGCTTGAGAGCAAGGTCACATGAGAACCCCCATAGCAAGTGGCTTACTATGGGAAGGGGGGGACTAGGTGGGGAACCAGGAGCACCAACTTACCAAAGCCAACTATGTGCACGAGAGTAGTGGCTCTCCCAGGTCTCTCCATCCTCATAGGCTGAGACACAGCAGTGGATGACATTGGCTCCTGCTGTTGGTAATCACAGCCAGTAAGAAGGGAGCATACCCTTATAGACACACAAAGATGGCTCAGGAGCGAGCATGCATGAGTGCCCCCAGAGCAAGCAGCACTCAGCAGGGGAGAGGAGCCAGGAGTGCCAGCGGGGGACCCGAGAAGAAGAGGATTGGGGCTGCTCTGTGCATAACCACTACACAGAGCAGCTCAGTATAACATGCTTGCTTGTTTTTTTTTTTTTTTTTAAATAGCACTTTAAGGTAAAAACAAAACTTCTGCTTTTAGAACCACTTTGATTTAAACATGTCATTCGAATGCTGATGAGGGGAAAACGGGGATTAAACTTCGGCTTTAAGTTCATGATGGGTGAGACTAAAGAAGAATCAAAGGAAAAGTTTGGGGGGTTTTCAGTTTGGATGGAGTAAGGCAGGGTTATAACCCCTGTCATTATTTAAAGGGAAACAAAGGCGGCAAGGTGCTGGATCAGAAAAGTATCAAAATGTATTAGATGAATAACATGCAAACGTACACTGAGGCAGGGAAGAGCAGCTCTGAGGTGGAGGGAGAATCCACAACACAGCAACAAGGACCGACAGTCAGATCAATGAGCCGTGTGATGGGGACTCGAACCCGCCAGAACAACATGCCATGAGCGGCGTACCGGCCTCCCTATAACACCCGGTACTCATTTTTTGCCATCTATCTCCCATTGGGGTGATATCGGCATGGGACTGCATGCCAGTAGCGCAGAACTACATACTATCGACATGGAATTGCACACTATTGGTGTGAAACTGCATACTACTGGGATGGAACTACATACAATCGACATGGGACTACATATTGTTGGCGTAGGACTACATACTGTTTGCATGGGACTACATACAATCAGCATGGGACTACATACAATCACTGTTGGGACTACATACTGTTGGCATGGGACTACATTCAATCAGCATGGAACACCATACTATAAGCATGGGCCTACATAAAACCACATGGGACTACATACTATCAGCATGGGACTACATACTATCAGTAACAGACTACATACTATCATCATGGGACAACATACTATTGGTACGAAACTACATACAAGTGAAACTCGAAAAATTAGAATATGGTGCAAAAGTTCATTTATTTCAGTGCAGCAACTTAAAAGGTGAAACTAATATATGAGATAGACTCATTACATGCAAAGCAAGATAGTTCAAGCCGTGATTTGTCATCATTGTGATGATTATGGCTTACAGCTCATGAAAACCCCAAATCCACAATCTCAGAAAATGAGAATATTGTGAAAAGGTGCAATATTCTCGGCTCAAAGTGTCCCACTCTAATCAGCTAATTAAGCCATAACACCTGCAAAGGGTTCCTGAGCCTTTAAATGGTCTCTCAGTCTGGTTCAGTAGGAATCACAATCATGTTTCACCTGTATTATCATCATAGGTCAACATACTATTGGTGTGGGACTACATACTATTGGCATAGGACTACATACTGTCAGCATGGGACTACATAGTATTGAGGTTGAACTACACACCATCAGTATGGGACTACATACTATCAGCATGGAACTGAATGCTAGTAGTGTGGGACTACATACTACCATCATGGGACTACATATTATCATCATGGGGCAACATACTATCAGGATGGGACAACACACTATTGACTTGGGACTACATAGTATTGACATAGGACAACATACTATCAGCATGGGACTAAAGAGTATTGACGTGGTGCCACACACCATCAGCATGGGACTACATACTATCATCGTGCAACTGAATGCTAATAGTGTGGGACTACATACTATCATAATGGGACTACATACTATTGGCATAGGACAACACACTGTCAGCACAGGACTATGTACTATTGGCATGGGACAACATACTAACATCATGGGAAAAAGTGCTATCATCATGGGACTACATACTATCATTATGGGACTACATACTATCATAATGGGACAATATACTATTATCATGGGACAACATACTATCATTGTGGGACTACATACTATTATCATAGGACTACATACTATCAGCTTAAAAGCAACCTTTTTTTAAAGTACTTTCAGCGATATCTGTCATGCCATCGGACATACTGATGAGAATTGTCATACCATTGTTCATATTAACATTCATTCAGAACTCCACCAGTGTATGGCCGGCTTCGGGGGCCCATATTAGACAATTAAGATGTTTCCAGTTCTCAGACTGTACAAAGTTCTTGTTATCGGCTCATACGGGTCCAATTCCCGGGTTACCTGGTAACCCATGTCCTAGGAAGTCGAATGCTGCCCTTACACGTATGTATTGAA